TTTGTAATCATTTTGATTTAAATAAAAAATGTGTTATAAATTTAAGTGAAAGTTTATTTAATTAAAAGTTAAATTTTAAACTTTAACAGATTAAAACATTTAACTTTTGAACGTTATTTTCACCTGCACTCATCGTTCTGCGACCATGGTATAAACCGTTGATTAATCCTAAACTTAATCTTCACCGTCGCTTTCTACAGTAAAGGAGGTCAACATGCAGAAATATAATGGAAATACCCCACAGTGTAAGCCATCAGTTTCCTCTTCCACATTTCAAATCTCTCCCTCTCTCTCTCTGAATTTGTATTGTGTCGATGGATTGAAACGATAAAGGAGATTACCGTCAAAGACGATTGAATCAGTTGAGAAATCGATAAATGCAATTACAATGACATCATTTTTCCCGCCAGAAACGGTTGAATCAGTTAAAGGCGAACTAGGCAAATCGGATTTCACGCCGAGAAAACTGGTTTTCACGGAGTTCGGCTTGTCTCCTGTCGTCAGTGCCTCTCAGCTGCATACGTCGCCTCAAGAGAGGCTCTTCTTGCAAACCAAGCTACATGTGCTTCCGCGTTCTCCATTATCTTTTAAGTGAGCTCTCTTTAATTATCTTTTTTCTGTTTCGATTCACATTAGTTACTTTTATTACTAGTTGATTCGAGGTGGATGTGATTGGTCTTGATTTTACTCTCTTTGAGATTGATAAATTGATTGTTTTGGCTCCATTTGAAGTGTTTAGAAGTGTTCGATTTCTTAGTCAGGCTTGCCGTAATTGTTTGCTTAAAATTATAGAATCTTGATCACAATAAGGAATTGTTGAAATCGGAAAGCTTTACAGCATTTGGTTGATATGTTATCTAAAATTGTTTTTTCCTTCTATCTACTTCTTGCAGGAAGTCAGAGTCTCCTAGAATATCTCTGCCGCAGGCTAGAACCAAAATAATTAATGGCACTCCAAAGAGTCATAGGCAGTGTCATTGCAAGCAATCAAAATGCTTAAAGTTGTGAGTACTCCATTTGCAGCTTCATTGAGTATATGTTGATGAATTTACTTAGTTATCGTTCTTCGTCGTTGTCTTCTGCACCTGTACTAGGGTTCTTGTAATCAAATTTCAAAAACCTTTTGCATTGCAAATGGTACTATTCTCATCCAATCGGATACCTCCAAATGGATATCCTTTACTGAATGCTGGATAACTAGCATGTGTTTTATAGTATTGAAGTGCATTTTCTATATCCGACTAAAAATTCTCGTCCACAAATTGGCAGGTACTGCGAGTGCTTTGCTTCTGGATCATATTGTGATGAATGCAGTTGTGCTGATTGTCATAATAATGTGGAGAATGAGGATGTGAGGAGAGAAGCTGCTGAATGCATCCTAGAACGTAACCCAAATGCTTTCAAACCAAAAATAACTGGCAGTCCGTGTACTCCTGCAGACGATGGGGTATGTAAATTTCAATTTTCTTGCAGAGAAAGATCTGTTTATTCTGGTTACTAAATTTACTCGCCCATGGCCATTGCAAATTGCATATATATATTAAATTATTTAGATAACTTGTATCTTGATTTTGGAAAACAATTAGGATTTTCTTGTTTTATTGTGAATGTTGTATGGTGTTATTCAGTGCAATATCTCTTGTTTCTTTCTTTTCACTGTAGCCATTATTGTGCAATTAGGCATCTTTCTAGCTGTTGAAAAAGATTGTTTTGTTTGTGCCTTGATTGTTAACTGCACTGAGAATGCTTTGCTATAAGTGTAGGATGCGGCAAAAGATGTTTTGGTAATGGCTAAACACATCAAGGGATGCCACTGTAAAAGAACTGGTTGCCTCAAAAAGTATTGTGAGTGCTTTCAAGCAAACATTCTCTGCTCTGAAAATTGCAAATGTGTCAGCTGCAAAAATTTGGAAGGAAGTGAGCTAGGAATGGTTGTTACCTCGGAAAATCATTGTAAGACCAAAGCCTACATGCTGTAGGAAGATGCTAATTCATCCAGCGCTGTTGTATCCTCAAGCCATATCTTCTCTCAAGAATCCAGGAAAAGAACATTTCGAGAACTATTTGATTCGAACATGAGAGATACAGAAATTCATGAGTTTACAAAACATCATGCGGTGAGTTTATATTTCACATGGTGATTCAAGTACTGTTGTTACTAGATATTTGACAAGAACATCAAGGTTGTTATTTCCATATCAGATTAATTACAAGAGCTTATTTTAAATGTTGATATGATGAAAATGATCCTTTAGCGGTTAGCCTTGATTTAATGACAATGGTTGTGTACTTGTATTGCATCTACGTCATGATAGACTACAATTTTTTTTTTCTCATTATATTTATTTCTTGGGATATTATCTTGATCTCAGCAGATTAAATCTCCATCTTTATTGCCATGTTTCTTGAAAAGGCATAGACATTTTAGATTCCTTTTATTTCCTGTATATTATCGTTATTTGTGTTGACTATGGCTTCCACTTATTAAAGAACCATCTCACCTAAAAGTTTAAGCTATTAGGTGAGGTCCCGAGATATAATTTATATTATTTTCTAACACACCCCTTCAAGTGAAAGTCTTTTGGGCTTGAAACTTGCACAGGTCCACATTATCTTATGCTTAATTTTTATCAAATAAATGGGAATGGTGAGATTCGAACTTGAGATCATTTGGTCAACCAGACTCTGATACCATATTAAAGAACCATCTCACCTAAAAGCTTAAGCTATTAGGTGAGGTTTCAGGATATAATTTATATTATTCTCTAACACCACTTACCTATCTCCCACCTCTTTTAAATTTTGTTTTTTGTTACTCTAATAAGGTGAATCCAGTTGGAGTTCATGTTTCAATCCCAACCTTACATGCTGATTGTGTTTGTCAAATTGCTAGTTCTGCAGCATTGGGCTCTTCAAAGCTTACATCCAGGTTAATATATTTGCAACTGATTCTTTTTTTTCCCCTTGACTGTTGACAAAATTTTATGTTTCTTAATCTCAATTTGCTAACTAGTGTTGATGATCTCTATATCAGATCTCTCTTAGCAGATGCTATTCATCCACTGGACACTAGAGAGCTCTGCTCACTTTTGGTGGTTGTATCAGAAGCTGCACAGTTTCTTGCTGGTATGGACTTGTATAGATAGACCCACTTATTCTTATAAGAGGTGAAGAACTGAAACAGACGCGCACATTAAACACTCGAAGTCTCGAACACATGTATACCAAAATATGATCCGGATTATTTCCATCTCTCTCTTTACTGAAACCAGTTATTCACTTCCATAATCTACCAATGGGTTGTTGGCTTGTCGCGGAATTGGTTTTTGCATGGGGTGTTGTCTCAGAATCATACATTGCCAATCAACTTTATAAACAACGAACATACTTACGAGGTAGACATGTTGCTTGTCACAGAGTAACAAATGAAAATTACTAAGCAAATTCATAGAAAAACCTTTTCAAGAATTTTTCATCATGTTCAACAAGCTGTCTACATAAATGAAGGGTATGCAAAAGTTGCAAAAACCTGATATTCGAATTTCTGCTGGAATTCTCATTCCCACCAATCTAATTTTGTTGACAAATATCTAGTTGCCAACCCAAGCTCTATTCGTTTGTACAAGCTTATTTCCTCTTCTATCTTTGTTACATGCCCATGTCTTTGAGGTAAATTCTATTGCATCTACTTCTAAGAGTGATGCGAGTTTAATGATGCATTTTCTCTTTCCAGATGAACATTGCAAGGAACGGATAAAAGAAGTAAAAGAATACCAGATGGCCTGTGATCTTGAGAAAGATTGCAAGAAAGAACCGGATGTTCATCAAGTTGTGCCTCATAACCAATTTCCTGGGAGCCAAACTGATACAACAGTCATGGATAATTCCAGATCTTGTGACAGTGGCATGCAGGATGGAGGGCCGTTTTCATCTGAAGGAGATTACTTGATGGGCGACAAGAAAGACCAATTGTTCACAAGATCTGCTTCCCTAGACCAAAATCTGAATCATGGATGCAATGAAAATTTCACGAAGGAGCATGAAAGACTTGTTCTGACATGTTTACGGGATTGTCTTGGAAAGCTCATCGCTTTTGGAACAATGAAAGGTATGGGTCTGCCCTTCATCTTTCTAAATAGATACAAAAACTACCAGTTTGAAAGCTTGTCAACAATTCAAACATTAAAAACGCATACTACAATAAATAGAGCCTCCAGGAAGTCCATCTACGACCAGCTATAAGTAGAATCCAACAATTTGATGTTTGAGTTGGGAAAAAAATGTGAGAACTTCATTGAAAGTTGATAAAAAAAATATTAAGCACATATTAACTTCGAGAAGAATTAATATTGAACAAAGAGTACATTAATGTAAGAATTCCAGGATAGGTGACCTTTTATTCTTAGGTACCAACTTCATATCGATTAGTGTGATCTGTTTCAAATTTACGTATTCAACTGGATTTAGATCATTGGAGGAAACATGAAGCAAAATTCATCCCCATTCTCTCTAATATTACATGTTATATAAATGTGGCTTTACAAGCGAGTCCAGTTTCCTATTTAACACAAGCGTGTTGTTTTTTTACCCTTGGTGCTCATCAATATACATGTCAAGCTAGGTTATTTTTCTTTATTTTTGTTTTGCCTTCTGTCAATTGAATTGACCTATAAATCAATGTGACTTCATCATCATGTTTTTTGCATTGCTGGGGAATTGTATTTCATTAGGGAGTCGGTTCGAACATCTTAGCACTTGCAACATCAAAGCAAAACCTGAAACCTGATTGAGAAAGCTGCTGCAATGACATGGTAAAATCTCACGGCAGAGATGACCCTGAAGCATTTCGTCCAGAAGCAAAGTCATCGCCACCTAGTGGTCACAGCCGACCATAGAAAGCTGTGTTTTTCCATCATCTCATGCACGTCACAGACAATCAAAATTGGACAAAATATCCGTGAACTTCTGTTGGGACAAAAGGTACTGTAGATAGTTGCATCGACTGAAAAAGGTGATATACGTCAACATCTTTTCAACACCGGTTCAATTCAATAGCCTTTTGATGTAATAAAAGTAGGGAATAGTCAATCTCATTGCAAGAGTCGTTTTTGTCAGGAGTAAATCACACTACAATCCATCCATTTTCCATGCCCTTTTTGTAGAAAAACTTTGATTCGTTTTAATCAATCCTTGCATTCTTGTGTGAATTTCCACGAGTTTTTCTTACTGGTCATTGTCTAGTACGATGTTAAGCGTTCTGGACCTGCATTGAAGAGTAAGAGCTGGTGGCCTGAAGGGCTGAAAGCAAAGTGATGATGACAGTGACTAAACTCGATGCATAAAAAGCTTGGGCCACCAAATGAAAATGCTGGTCACTGTCACTCTTACAAATACATGGTAGGCCGACAAGGTAAAGCTCAAAAGAAACAAACCTGACTACATTTCAAAGCATGATTCACCGGCCTAAGATATCTCCAACCGACTTCTTAATGATCTGGAAAAGCTCTTCCCTATAAGCCAAAAGGAACACCCAAATAAAACAAAACATGTGAAATTCCTGCAAGCCAAGGTATATTTTTGTAACATCAACAGCAACAAAACCAAATGGTCAGTGGTTTTACTTACCGATTGGGTTTGAGCAAGAGATATCGATATATAAACCACTGAAATGGATGGAAAATCTTCAGGTTAGTATTATATAACAGAAGACAAACGAACGCTCAATTTTTTTATTTTCTTTTATGAGATCATTTGGTCCACGAACAGTCGTTGCAAGAACTTGAGCTTCTCTTTCATTTGTTCTCGCGTTCTCAGAAACCACAAGTTGGGTTATATATTACTCACCGAAGAATAAAGGATGCCAACGAATTCTAGTGCACTTGGGACAACAGGCAACTTGTCAACGGCCTATGCATAGAAGGGAAACCACAGATAAATAATTTGCTTTCTTTTCATGGCGGTAGCCAGCAAGATGATTAAGCTGTGTGCTGACATGAATATGCAGGGCAGGGCATTTAATTTCACAGAAATTGGCTACACAAAGCACGAAAATAAGGAAGCCATCTGAAACAAGGCAATTCTGAAACCAGGGGGGTCATAAAGAAAAAAGCTTCACGATGCCTGAACCAGAATAGGTTTGCGCTGATCTATCTCTTGATACATTAAAAAGAAAAATGAGAGAAAAAGAAACGCAGTGGATGTTTCTAGTGATGACCACACAAAAGCTTAAAAGCTTAAGGGGTTTAGAGTGTGGTATTGGTTGGTTTTTAAAGTTTTTTTTAATATCAAAATGTATTAAAAAAATATTTTTTAAAAAAATATTTTTAATATTAATATATTAAAATAATAAAAAATATTAATTTAAAAAAAATTAAATTTTACCCGACCTTCATTTAGAACGCAATACCAAATTAACAGGGGCTTAACCATCATCGATCTCTATGGTACGTCTTTAATTATAAACTTTAATCACTTTTGCTCCTCTAATATTCAAAAGAATCGAGTCCCTATCTTCAGAATCGTCCCACTGTTTCGGACCAATCAAGATTATATCAAAAAACCAGAACCTTTGCACGGCCAAAAGCGATTTTACTTCAAAAAAAGCAAACGAGGGTTAATTTGAAGGATGACAACCAATCATCTCATGCATCAAAACAAACAAGCATCCTTTTCTATCATCAACGAACTTGAGAAGATTTCAACTTTACAGAACATAAGAAACCGCGACCGCAGGGGGGAGATGGCAATAAAAGAAGCTGCGTGCAGATAAATGACATAGCAGACCACATTTTGACTACGAACAGAACAAAATCAAAGAACAAGAGAAGGGAGAGGTTAACACTCACAATGTTTTGAACAGACTTAACAATGCTGAGGGAGGTTGATGACTCAGAGCTTTCCCCAGTAGCCTTGACTACAACAGCAGCACAGTTCTGTCTCTCTACAGTGCAAAATCATCGAGACTAAAGCAAGAACGGCAACAAAAGCACAAGCATCAACACGATAAGAAATTTTAACTGGGTGACCTACAACAACTTGCAACAATATTACAGCGACAAAACAAGGATAGGCAGTTCCTCGTGCATACAACAGACTTTGCAAGTTTAGCCAGTTGCTAAAATCACTAGAGTGTAAGGTCTCGTGGACAGAATGTCGAATCTTAAAACCACAGAAAATCTAGATCCAGACTATTGAAAACTTTGCTCCCAGCTCGCCATGAATCATTTGAGAAAAGAGCCCATCTCTGAGAATAAAGGTAAAGAATTTCCCGGTTCTGCCTGTTGTATTCAATAATTTGGCCCAATATCCGAGATTTCACAGAGACTAAGGTTCACATGAGTAAGCAAATGAAAAACATTAGCTAATCAGCCCAGCTCTTGCTCTCCTTTTCACTCTATTTACATTGATCGTGAGACCTTAAATCTCAATTTTTTTCAACATCAGTAAGCAACAGCATACACTGCCTGCCCATGAGAACGCTTTAGTTTTCAATGACACAAGTCCCAGAAGTAGCATCTTAGTCATAATCTCAACACACACAAGCTCAACACACTCTACTTGTAACATTAAATTCTGCTAATGAGCATAAACAGGTTCTACAAGCTACTAATATGTTAACTGAAATAAGCAAGATGACTTGAACAGTTGACCTAAACCATAAAGCTTATTAACGTAAAATGCAAAGTAGATCCTTTAGAATCCATTCTTACCTTTAATGGTAGAAAGTGGGAGCTTTTGAAGAGACCTGAATGGGATCCTTTTACCATGGACCAACAACGGTGGAGAAGGCAAGTTTGCATAAATGGAAGCCATGTCTTCTTCCTAAAATAAAACAACAGAAAGAAACTATCAAATTTTGAGAGGTTTATGAGATAAAGCTGAGATTATACTCCATAGTTTAAAAATGAAAAATGGGTTTCAGAATTTGTACTTCTTTGATTGCGAGAGCGCGAGGTCGATGCGCCACACAGAAATGTCTAGGTTTTGTTTGTGGCTAAGAGCTTTTTGCCCTCATCATCCACCAATTTAGGTTTTTTTTTTTTTTTTTTTTTTTTTTTTTTGCATTGTGTTTTTAGAAATACATTATACTTCTTTTTTTATAGCATCAACGTAGTGAAATCGTTAAAAATATTTGTAAAAATATAAATTTAATATTTTTAAAAAATAAACAATAATACAAAAAGTATTTTAAAAAACAGGTTTAACTGCATTAATTACTAAAAATAAAATAATTAATAAATATAACTATGTGCCACTTCAAAAAATATGAGTTAATTTCTAACAAAGAATAAAGAAAATACCAATATTATAAATATGTTTTCGAGTATTATTAAAAAAATTAGGGTTAATTAACTTTGCCTTTTATAGGCCCCCCCCCCCCCCTTTGTGTTCATTCTTTCAAAATTTGCATCCTAAAATTTATAAATTAATAACACTTTGCATCCTAAAATTTACAGGATTACAATTATATTTTATTTAATTATTAAAGAATCATTACAATATTAATATTATAACTTTACCATCAAACATATAATTATAATTTTGTCATCAAACTAATATTATAAATTTTTTTTTTATAGTATTTCATCAAACACTTTATTTATAATTGCCTATAATATAAATGATGTGGCTCTTTTGTAGATCCTTTTACTATTTATCTTTTTATTATTTATCTTCTTACAATTAACTGTGAATTATAATAATAATAGTTTTTTAATAAATTTTTATTCTGATCCCATTTTTTCTTTGTACAATTAAGTTTTTTTAAGCACTTAATTGCATGTATTTAAAGATAGAGAACTGGAATGAAAATTTTAGATAACATAGGAGATTTTTTAAAATTTATTTGAAAAGTATATTTTAGTAGTTATATTTTTATTATTATGATCTAGAAAGAGAAAATTAATATTTAAATAATTAATATTATTTTATTATAATAAGATTACGATAATTTAAATCTTAGTAATGTTTTTATTATTGTGAAAAATGAAATTTAAAATATTATATGAACTAATAATTATTTTATATCATGCTTTGATATTAATGCTTTATTCCTAACAAATGATCATTATAAAATTGTTTTATTCTATTAATTCAAAAAAAATGCATTCTTAACTAAGATTAATATCAATGAATGAAAAAGATGTAATATTTATATAATATTTATAAAATTGTTATATGTGATATTATTATATTTATTTAAATATATTTATTACTAATAAAGGCTTCGTTTATCTTTAATATTTATGTAATATAATAAATATTCTTGGTTGGTGTTCTCTTGAATGCTGGATATTTATTAGAGTCATAGAGAGTAATATATATTATATTCTTTTCTTTACGAAAGGAAGTAATTGTTCTCATAAACTAAGGTATAAGAGATACCTAGAACTAATATGTAGGTGCTTATTATAAGACATATGTGTTGAACTCAACCGTATGAAAATTCCATATATAGAGATCCTCTATATCTATGAAAAGACTCACGTGATAGTTGTGTAAGTGATTCATAGACGTGAAATCACTAAGTTATTTTACATAAAGACTATTATATTTTAATCTTATTGCATGTTATCTTAATCAAGGTAACGAAAGAGTATTGATTAAGAAATCCTTATTCAAGATGAAATGATATTTGAAAAGAGTTTTAAATTTTATTCAAACAATCACTGGTTATTATATAGAGAACAAACATGATTTAACATGGTAGACATACTGCATGCTTTAATGTTAAATCATAACATTATCAATGAAAGGATATTAATTACACTGAGAAAACGGTCATTGAAAGATTAAATCAAACAACTAAATACCTTTATAATATTTAAAGGATCATGACATGTTACTAAATGATGCATCTAATCTTCAAATATAACTTAATCAATTATTGAATTAATAATAAATTAAATTATTAAATTATATTTAATTAGAATTATAATTTATATTTGGATCAACATATTAGAAACCTAATGCGTCACAAACATTAAGAGTCATTAATCAGAAATTAAATTGTAATGGTTTAATTATGACTTCATTAAAATATATTTTAGAAATTAAGAATTAGAACATAATTAATACAGGAATTATATTTATAGATTTAGAAAAATCAAATAAGGACTTAATTGAGTTAATTTCTCAAAATTATCCTGAATTAATATATGAATATTATTCAAAGAAAAAATTGATATTTTGTCAATTTATAGGGTTCTTCAGATTTTTTTACAAATAATACACCATGCCTTTTATTTTAGTGTGGTTGTCTGTTAGATAAAAAAAATATGTAAGTCACAGAATAGAGAGCTAACTCTATGCATAGAAATTCTTCTTTTCTAAATAAAAATTTATGAGATTTTTAATTAGTGGTTCATGTGGATTATCGTTGGAGGTCATATAATAGGAAGAAGATCAAATTTTCAGGTAATAAACCTTTAAACAACATTTGATCTATCTAACGAGATCTTAGGGATTCCAAAAATAAATTTTTTTTATTGTTTCTATTGTGTGTATAATATTCGGGAACCTAATAATGGTATCAGAGCCTTCATTAGATAATTAGGTTTGTTAATTGTATATTTTAATTGTTATTGGTGTTAATTGTGAATTAAATTTGTGTTCAAATTTAATATTCCAAAAAAGTATTTTTTTTCTTTGATTATTCTTTATGGTTACTACTCTGGCCAGATTTGATAGAAATTCACCATTGATATGTTTTTTTTTTAAATTGTTTTAGGCGGTTGGAGCAACCATTAGCGGCGACACCACCATTGCTGGCGCGCCTTGTTGTGCTACATCCACAACCAAATGACAAATGCAAAAAAGCCATAACAACACTAGACTGGAGCAATGTGAGGGTTGTTGCCCTGCGCTGCCACCAGGTGCAATAACAGTATTGTTGTCGTTGCTAATGGCTGCCATCGACGCGGGTAGACCATGTCGGTAACAACAAGGCTGCTGTAGCATGAAGGAGATATGAGAAAAATTACAATTAGGCCCTCGAGCTTTGTTTACGGTTTTTTGAGTGTGAGAATTATGATTTTACCCCTGCAACTTATATCTAATTACTTTTAGGTATATTTAGGGGCTGAAATTATGATTTAGTCCTTCATATATAGGATAATAATTTTATATTAAAATTGAAACACAAAATTAAATTAATTGTAGAATTAAATTTTCTAATTAGATTATAATTGAATTGAAATTTTTAAATCAAATTTCACTACCAGAAAATTGATAAATACAAAAAAAATACTGAGGGAATATTTCCGCCAATAAATTTATAAGGGATTTTATCGACGAAAATATTTCATCGGTATATACCAAGGGAATGACAGTAGGAAAAAAAATTACTGATTTACTAATTAGTACTTAAAAGTGTATTTTTATCAAGGTTTTATATCATCATTTTGCACTTGAAGTATCAATAACTCCTTAACTAAAATATATTTTATAATAACATATCTGATAATATAAGATACCTTTATTTGTAGTAAATATTCATTTTAAATGCAGGCTTATCACATAAATGAAAGGATTGATTGATGAGTTTAAGACCTGAAATTGAAAGAACAAAGAGATGGCCAAACTTAAAAAAGAGATATTAGAGTAGTCCAAACTGGAACACTGTTCAATAATTGGGTCATATCTGGAGCTGTAGATCTCGGATTTAGGTCTACTTTATATGGATGGAAAGGTAAGACATAGGCCTACAACTTTCATATGGAGCTCAAGATTTAAAAAGAGTATTTTCAAGTTCAAATTGTAGTAACAATAAAAAGTCTGAATATATCCTCCAGCCTGAGCACTGTTAAGTGTTTGGCACATATCTGGAGTTTTGGAAGTCCAAATGACCTTCATTTTTTTCCTAGAAAGCTAAGACAATTTCTTACAATTTTCATTTTTTCAAGTGGTTCCAATTCTGATGTTATCAATGATGTTTTGGGCAGACAAGAGAAGATAATGATTGTCACCAAGTCAAGAGTTGGCCACTCACTCATCAATTAGTCATCAAATCAATAGTTTTCAATTTTGGCCTATAAAATAAGGTATTTGCCATGTATTTAGACATCTTGGTTTTCAGATCAAGATCATGCTTTTGCTTTCTCTCTTTGTATTTTTTGTATTGCTTATATTTTGCTTTCATTAAGATCAAGTTTATGCCTTTCATTTCCTTTCCTTTACTTAGTTAACTTTTATCTTATCTATGTTCTTATTTTTTTTTATTTTTCTTTCTTTCATTATGTTTAACTAAGTTTATTATGTCAAGGTGAAAAGGTTACACTAATGGTGCAAGAATAAGTATAATTTAAACTCAATATGGACTTTAAGGTTTGATACTAACATGTTTTCTATTTGTTATCTTATTCACTCTTTAAGACTTTGCTTGTTAAATGACTAATCTAGATTTATGCTGTATAACATTTGGTACAACAAATGCTTGGCACTTTCATAACCCATATTGTATGGTATAACTGACACCTGAGCTATGAAAAGAAGTTGATTTGTTGTTAACTTAAGTTATAATCATGAATGCCTGACGAGATTTACAAGTATTAGCATTAATCAAATAAGATGACTAATGTAATCATATTAACAATCTATAATCTGATTGGAACCTTCTTTGTGTGTGGTTTCCAATTGAATAATAAGAGTTTATACTATACTTGTTTGACATACCATTAGTGGATCCTCTAACCTTGACATTTACTATTATCATTGTTTAACCCTTATATTGATCTTCCATCTCAAAGTTCTTATCAACTTCTTCTTCTTCTTCTTTTTATTCTTTATTACTACTACTACTACTACTACTACAACTACTATTAATATTATTGTTGTTGTTGTTATTACTTTTGTTGTTGTTTATAATTTATACAATTAACCTCTTTGTGGTTTGACCCCGGTCTTGTTGAGTTATTTATTACTTCGACACTCCTGCACTTGGGAGAAGACATCAATCTTTTAGTTGTGTCAAGTTTTTGGCGCCGTTGCCGAGGAGGTAAGTTCTTATACAAATTATAGTATTTATTTTTCACTTTTCT